GCAAACAGTTTGCTTAATATGGGGTCCCAAGTTTCATGGATGGTTTCCAGGGACCGCACCTGCTTAGGGACTTCTGGGTTGGATGAATGGTATCCTCAAGGCTTGACAGGCCTGTTGTGGCAGGAAAAGGTCATCCTTGGCAGCGTAGGCTGGAATCCAGTTTGACTTTTCACTTATTTTCAGCATTCAATTTTGGGACATGCACTCTGGTTTTGAGAAACACAAGAGGAAGCTCTCCCGTCTTCCTCTCCTTCCTCTGCAGTTTCTCTTGTCACTAGGCTGGAGGCCGTCTGTGACAGACATGTGGAGCTGGAGGAAAGAGGACCCCAGACAATGGGGAATGGACCAACATCAGGGATAAGTAACCGTGGGAGCCTGGGATGGAAGGACAGAGGCATGGAAGAGGGAGACAGGGCAGGGCTGTTCGTGGTGATGGGTTCTACCTTCCTGAAACAGCCTCAGAGGAAACAGAAGTTTGTCCCCACCCCTATGGGTAGGTATGACCCACACATTGTCACCTGTCACCATGTAGCCGTGAGCTCCTTCCTCTTTATTGCCTGTCAATCAGTCCTCTTCATGACAAGCACAGCGAGGCTCACTTCCCGCTGTCATTGGACTATTAGAATGCCCCGTGACAGTGTCTGTCACTGCACTTACCACATTTCCCTTAGTCCATTTAAAGAACCATCTCTGTCACCAATCAATGAGGTCCCAGTATCATCCACCTGGTAGACCCCAGGCCCAGCTCTGAATCTGGAGGGTGTCAATGCTTTACTGGAGGGCAAGTAACTAAGCCACTGTTCATTGTGACATTTGGAAACCATTAAGGTCACAGAAGCAGCTGTTTGACAGTAAGGGAGGGGGTGGGGTGGTAGAGAGTGGGAAAGCACTTTTTCTAGAAGAGCATCAAATCTCCAAGTGTCACAGATTTGTTAAGCTTTCTCACTAGGGACTATTGCGGGCTCTTTCTGTCAATGTGCAAAGGAGGACAGTAGGCAGCCCGAGCAATGGGGGTGAGCCGTGTAGCTGTGTTCAGGTTTTCTGTCCTTGGCAGAAATTGCTGTAACAAGATGCTATGATTTGAGTCCCAAATCCCTGTGTGAGATTCTAGTATCATTCCCTCCCTTCCTACGCTGTGTCAACGACAAAGGTCTCCCTGATGAGAACCAGTGCCCCGTGTGGCGATTGCCGTTGTGAGTCACTCTCACTACTTCCGTAGATGACACCATGCTTGGTTACACTTTGTTTTTTACCCTAATAATTCAGCCCGAAAGCCTTCCAGATCGTTTCCGAAAGGGTCTCCATCCTTCATGGTGGCACATATTCCACTGTGCAGGTTTGATTTGTTCGAGGAATCTTCTGTATGAAAGGAGTCTGGGTTTTCATGTCTACCACAGACATCTTTTACCAGCTGTTGGTAAAGTGAGCCAAGCCCAGTGCTCTACACTTGGAAGCATGACTTACCATGACCACAGGGATCTATCCTTGCATGCAGGGTTGTCATGTCAGATGTCTTAGGTTTCTTTCTACCACTGTGCTAAAACGCCATGGCTAAAAAGTAACTTGTTGGGGGAAGGGCTTTATTTCACCTTACAGGTTATAGTCCATTACTGAGGGAAGGCAGGGTGTCAACTCAAGGCAGGAGCTGATGCAGATGCCATGTGGAAGTGTTCCATGCTGGTTTGCTCCTCATGAATTTCTTAGCCTGCTTTTTCATACTGCCCAGGAGCACTTGCTCAGGGCTGGCCCCGTCCAGTGAGCTGGGCCCTCCCATACAGACCTATCTTATGGAGGTATTTTCTCAATTAAAATCCTCTCTTCTAAGATATGTTTAGGTTTGTGTCAATTGACCAAAACCAACCAGCACAGAGGTCTAAGAATCATTTCAAGTCACAGCCTGCCCATAGCTACTTATCTGACTGTGGAATGATTTCTGTGTTCTGGTGTGCAACATGCTGGGAAAGTGTTTGCAATGAAGATATGAGCCTCGGCTTTCTGCTCCTGCCGCCTCATCTTCTGTCTGCAGCCATGCCTCCTGCACAATGACAAACTCATGGAAACATGGACCCAAATAAATTCTTCAAAAATAAAAATAATAAAACTCATAGTTGAAGTACTAAAACTTAACAAATACAAAATTCAAAGGAAGCCCAAATCAGACGTATTGTGTTAAGTTGACAAAATGAAATACGAAGTTAGTTTTGTAGATTTTGCGGTCATTACTGTTGGTGTCAGATTGTGTGATTTATAGCATAAGCAAGCCCATTTGCCAAACTTGCATTACCTAAACATATTTTTTGTTTGTTTGTTTTTAGAGTTAGGGTTTCTCTGTAGCTTTGGAGGCTGTCCTGGAACTCACTCTGTAGATCAGACTGGCCTCAAACTCACAGAGATCTGCCTGCCTCTGCCTCCCGAGTGCTGGAATTAAAAGTATGTACCACCACCACAGCCAACTGCAGGCAGGCCTAGTTAGGGTCCATGATTCTTGGTAGGAGAGACATTTTAGAATCAAGCTGTTTCCTGAAGTCCACAACCTTCTATGCAGGTTTGATCCTCTCTGTGGTTCATCCAGCACTTGAACATTTCTAGCTAGGGGAGGTGGATTTCGGGTTCAGGGACCTGATCCTTCCCCTGGCAGTGAAGCAGAGACAGCCTTAGTGTTTGGGGAGTGTTCCTTGTCAGGCTCTTATGCCTGCAGACCCTTGCCATGCTGATTTCATTCCAGTGAACCAGCTTTCTGCCCGGGAGCCACATTCTCTTCTGGAGTCTTTCAAAGAGCTGAGATGAGGTCATGGGCAGCCACAGCCCAGAATGCCCCCTTTTCTCAGGGTGTCCCTGTCTGTTGTTTTTACTGCAGGCATCATTTTACTACAAAAACAAAATCACCAATAACCCTGCCCTGTGTTTCTCTGAAGTAACAGATTCCAGTGGTTTCTTCCAATATGAGGAACTGGAAGGAATTCAATTCCTATTCTAGCTTCTTATCAGAATGATTTCATCTCTCAATGATGCCACATCCTGAGATTTCACTTCCCCTTCCTCCAAAAGGAATGGAGGCTGCTGAGTGTTAGAGAGATCTAACCGAACAGACAAAACTCACAGCAAAGGAGGGGAAGAGGCGGCTGTTTTGAGGTTGAGGAAGAAGGGAGCTTTTGAATGTTTCTTGCCTGAAAACTCTTGGGCCTTCCTCAAGGGGAAGGAAAGGGAGTAAGAGTGAGGCTGGGTAGACCAGGAAGTGGAAATATTAGTGATATGGAGTTAAAAGGATTTAACACATGTGGGAATATGCTGGAAATATAGGAAGAAAAGGTCAAAGGTTGGGCTGTCCTAAGCAGAACATGGCTCTGGTGATCTCCCAGGACTAGAGCAACATTGAATGACTGCATAGGTGACAGACCCTATGACAGGATGGCAGCAGAGGGGAAACTAGACTATCTACATGGATAATTGTCTTTTTTCTCTCTTTTAAAAATTAATTTATTTTTTACATTCCAAGGATAATTGTGTCTTACAAGTATTCTGAGGTTCTGTCCCCTCCAGAGCCTCCATGCAATTGACACACTCTTTCCAATGCCCTGTAACTCTGTTCCTGCAGTAGGCAGTGGCATTACTTGGAAGGAGAGCGTGACGGACAATACACTGGAAATGTTATTGCTTTTACAACCACTGGACACCTCCATCCTGGAAAAACAAATAAAATGCTAAGAATCTTTCCAAACATTTTTGTCTCATTCCTCCCTTGGGATCTGTGTAACAAAGGCAGGTTTCTGTGGAATTTTGGTGAAATGAAGATTCTATGATGGTCCATAGACCACTTCACTCCAGGGACCTGAACTGCGTGCAGGTGGCACAGGGGAGTTTTCCTATGACTCCATGGAGCCTGTGCAGATCAAGGTGGCACCGTGTGCACTGTGTTCACTGAGAGCGCACTGTCAAGCATGGACGGGAGACATCGTATCACCTTCGCTGATAAAAGGACTTCATGCCTGGCACAGGCCAGTCCAGCCAGTGGTCCTCACTCTGACATCAGAAAGCTCTGTGGTACTGTGTGGGACTCAAGAAAGTGCCAACAGGGTGGATCACGCAGTGGGGTGTGGTGGCAGTGTTATGTTGGGATCATGGCATGTGGCCTTGGTGCTTAAAGCAGGCTCATTCACCTCTATGTCCCCTTGGGTAACCACTCACTCACATGGATAGTACCATGCTTGTGGCACTTTTTCAACATGAAAGGAAGGTGACTGCCTGGAGACTTCCTGAAAGCAGTGTCACAGTTTGGTGCACAGAAGCAGCTTCAACACAGCCTGAAGAAATGAGAGTGGAGGGAAGTAGCTACTGTGGGTGACACATGGCGGCAGGTGTCTCTCACTGGCAAGCATGTGTGGCACTAAGTGGGTGCTGTCTCTTCCCAGCATTCGTCACATAGTCTCTAATTCAGGAGCACCTAAAATGTAAGTTAAGTATATCTTGGGTCATTAACAACTGTTCCAAAAAGTTTACTTGAGTCACTGTATTCTAGGACACTCCTGTCCTTGTTAGACAAGATGACCTCAGACAGAGACCACCGCTCTCAAGACTATGGAACAGAGGGAAGCTGTTGGCTGTCACACAGTGTGGAGGCTACAGTCGGGTGTAGGAAGAGGGTCACAAAATTAGGGAGCAAAGGCTCTTAGGGGGCTATCTCCCACCCCCTTTCAGTAAGAGTAATGGAGAGAGGGGCGTCTTGTAGAATACTCAGGTCAGGGTGTGGAACTAGTATCCCATTTCCTAAGCATAAGCCTTGTGATTTCTAAACCCCATGTCACACATGGGGAAAAAAAAAAAAAGCCACATTTTCACAAAGTTTATTGGAGAAATTTACACTGTCAGCAAAGGAAAAGTTGCTGTTGGGTAGAAAACATATTCCGCATAGTTAAGCATTTTCGTGGGTAATGGAAACAGACCTCCCAACATTTCCTTCAACACAGAGAAGGGCAGACAGGACACCCTGGCCAGCTTGACACCTACAGACAGGACTTGGGTGGGACTCGGGATCCCTGTGGAGCCTGCATGGGGGAGGTGACCATCTCAGCTTTTCCTGCAGTGCCACACCTCTTAGGGACTGTCTGCCCTTGTCCTGGGCTGCAGGCCTCAGCCCTCTGCACTTGAGAGCAGGCAGCTTGCCAGCAGGAGAGGTACCTCTGCACAGGCTCTGACTGAGCCAGCAGTTGTACCTCCTGCTGAGTTTCTTCAGACCCCATGAAGGGAGGCACAGGTGCCTGGGGACAGGGGATGACTGTGCCCTGCCTGTGTCCCAGTGGTTTCCTGAGGATCACCCCGGGGTCTCTCACGTACTTCAGAGCTTCAATGTTCTCATAAAACTCACATCTCCCTTTGATGAGGCTTGTGCCCTTCACAGGTGGTGATGAGAAGCTGCCCTTGGCCAGGGACCTTTCCTGCCCTTTGTGTTTTCTTCCAGGGGACACCCACTGCAAGAAGCATTTCACCTGGCTGGTGAATTGATTTTCCAGAGGCTGCCCCCTACGTGACTGTACCGGGGAGGATGTGTGTCCATGTGTTTCCTCTGGTGCCCTGGCCTGAACAGAGAGCCTCTTCCCTCTGGTTTGGGATGTCCCTAAGCCTGCATCCCCTCCACCCAGTGGGGACACTCGCTTGGCAGCTGGGGGACACCCCTTGTTCTGGCACTTGCCTGACACATTTGCAGGGAACCAGGAACTCTGCCCTGCCTCAATGCCAACTCTCGCAGTGGGCAAGTGCACCCGCAGTACCTGAGAAGCCACCATATCCCCACTGGAGGGGCCCTGGGGTTTAGAAGTCTTTTCTTCTGAGGCTGAGGGCACATCAGGCAGGCCTGCTGCCTGGATGGGTGGTCTGCTCTCTGAGTGCAACACGACTCCTCTGGACACCTGACTTTTATAGTCAGATGTTCTAGGATTGTGGGGAACTGTTGGCCTATCTGGTCTCATGGGCAGCTCTGGGCTATGTCTATGGTCTGATCCAGATTGTTGCAGGCTGCCTTTGTCCACCATACCAGGTGTCCAGGGCTGGATCGGCTCTCTGCCACTTTGAGCTGTGCTAAGGTCTTTGTCGACAAACACCTTGATCTCAGAGGCCGGCCGTATCTGGCTCCCAGGCCAGGAAGCAGGGAGAGACACTTCTTGGATGGGTGTGAAATTCAATGTCCGCATCCCATCTCCACTAGTATTTCTTTGCTGGAACCTGGAGGTCTGGGCAGAATTCACTGCAGAAACGGCGTGGGAGGCAGCGTGGAACTGAGAGGGAGGATGGGATGGCTCCACTTTTGTCTTGTAGGACTCTAAGGATTCCTCAACTCTTTTGGGAAGACCAAAGCTCATCCTCCTGCCAAAGGTTTTAATATGTTCTTCCAATATCTTTTCTTTGCTAGGACTAATCGATAAACTATGTTGGTGGTTTTTCAGTGGGTCTTCCTCACCTGCCAACGGTGCCAGATCTTTCAATTGCCTGGGCTGTGTCTCAGGCGGGGGCTGTGCTATGTTGTTAGAATGTGGCCCTCTGTCTTTGGTGCCAGGGATCTCGCCCCCCTTCATTTCTTCAGTTTTCCTGCTCAGCTGTTCTTGGAGGAAGGTTTCACATTTTTTCTGGCCCTTCTTCACCCATGAAGGCTTTGCAAACTTTCCAGACAGAATCCAGGGCTGAAGTTCTGGGTCTGTCTCAGAATCAGAGCCTTCCCTGCTCATTGTAGCCGCAGGGGAGTCTCTCTGGAGATGATCTTTTTGGTCTGTTCCTGGACCCTGTCTCTGAATTGGCATGTCTTTCTCCCTTAGAGGGTGAGTTTCCAAGATCTTTTTGTGGAAACTTTCAGATTGGATGAGCTTGAAGCTTGATGGGTGTCTGCTGCCATTGTGCTTAGAGAGAGAGATCCAGGGCCCATGGCTGCTCTGCATCTCAGGGAACTCAGAAGGCTCTGGGTGAGGACTCATGAGTGACAGGGAATCCTGGACCCTGTTCGGCAGTCCCCATAGGTGCTGGATGAGTCTCTTCCGGAGGTGGTGCTCAAGTTTCCTCCGGACTTCTCTAGTGAGGGGGAAGTCTCCCAGCAGGATGGACTTGGGATCACAGATCTTGAGTGACTTTCTCATCAAGAAGACCTTAGGAGGTGGGGGGCAGAAGCTTTCTTGGGATCTTTGGGTCACAGTGGGTAAACCCAAAACACTTTCCAGTGCTTTTTGTAATAGGTTGTATTCCAGCTGGTGAATTTCAGATTGACTGAGAGGCTGTGCTCCATCTGAGGGTCTATGAAAATGCACCCCACAGGTCCTAAGCTGGGATAGAGGAGAAAATAATGGCCATTGGATTTGGGGTTGAAGGGCCTCAGACTTGCTGTGAGAGTCAGGCTTTGTCTGAGATTCTGCCAATGTTAGCAGCCAGACCTGTTGGTCTCTCTCAAGCCAGGGCAGCGGTGCGGGCTGAGTGCAGGCTAGAGATTCATTGCCTGTAGGAGTCTTTGCCATTCTGTTGAAATGGGCAGTATGGGTGGCTTCAGGCTCGTGTTTCAGGGATTCACTGTGCAGACAAGAGGGGCCCCAGAAGAGCTGTTTATCCTTGATGCCTGATTGATCTTCAGAGGTCTTGGAGTGAGAGGGCTGCTGGAGTAGGTGGGGGTCCCCTGAATTGCCTTTGCCACTACCCAAAGGGAGGGAGACTTCCAAGTTCTTTGGACCAGCAATTGACCCTGAGATTTTCCCTGAATTATTTAGTGGCATCGAAAAGGATTCTGCTTCCTCTTTCTTATGCTCAGATGCAGTAAAATCAGTTTCTGTTTTCTCTTGCCTTTTGAAGAGTGCTAAGACTTCAGGGGTGAGAGGCAAACTGCTTCTGGGCTCTACAGTGTGGGTCTCTGTAAGTTTCTGATATGAGGCTTGGGGACCACAGGGGTCTAGAGGTTGTTGGTTAAGAGTGTCTGTAGTCAAGGACTGGTCTTTGGCACTGGACCAGGGCTGGGAGGAGACTGACACAGCCTGTCCTTCATAGACAATGCCTTTGGCTGTTGGGACATTGGGGGACAGCTCCCTGGGGCTCTCCTCAAGACATAGGGGAGCTTCTGGTTGGAGAACTGACTGTGCTTCCTGAGTGGCATGTGGAGGTGCAAAGGGGGCAAATGGTTTGTGTGGGGTGTGGCTCAATAACACCGGAGGGTCTAAGGGAGCTTGAGCGTGCGGTGATGGGGAGGCAGTGAGTGGCGTAGAAGATAAGCCATCCCGAACGGTTTGGTAAGATGAGAGGGTGGAGAGAGGAGATGGTGAAGGTTGAAGGAATACGTCTGGAACTGAAGTTTCTGGTTGGTTTGCTGGGAAATGAGAGATGAGACTGGATGTGGACTCTGTCACAGAAGCTGTAGAAGGCCACTGGGACGTCAAGTCGGTACTGTCTTCCAGGGGAGTCTCAGAGAGCTGAGAGCTGACCTGATCGCTAGCTTTGTTACATACATTGCAGAGGGAATCTTGACACAGCAGCTGATGAAAGCCTGGAGGATCATATGGTGGGCCTGAGGAGCTGTAAGGAAGACAAGAGTTCAGAGTGTTAGCCAAGTCCAGCAACTGAAAAGGAAAGCCTTCTGGCCAGGGTGGAGACCCCGGAAAAGGGACCAGGAAATGAGGTGTGTTGGGGGGGGATAAGCACCTTTGCAGCATGGTCTGCCATCTGCTCCTGCCCTCAGCGTCTGACCCGCTAGTACTCCCACCTGGAAAAGCAGGACCGTGCCCTATACAGACGGAAAGTAGAAACAGGAGGATCACAGAGGAGTACCTTTAAGATAAACGTCCAAGGGTCTGGAGAGATGGCTGGGTGGTCTAAAGCAGTTGAAAGTCCTCTAGACGACCAAGGGTCAGTTCACAGCACCGACAGGGTAGCTCACAACCACCTGTAGGGCCACTTAGCGAGCAAGGATGCACTTTTCTGACCTCTGAAGGCACCAGGCACATATATGGTGCACAGTACGCATGCAGGCAAAACATCCACACACGTATAATAAATAAACATATAAAACCTTTAAAAAAGGAAGTCACTTAAGAGAACCTGCAGCCAATGACAAGTGGTCTTTGGGGACACTTAGAATGTCCACACCTGTGCAGCATCATTTGCAAATCCCTCCACCTGTGTTGCCCCAAGGGCTACTCAAAACCACTGCAGAATGCACTGGTCAGTGATGTCCTCACAGGTCTGAGCTCCTAGGAATGAAGCACTGAAAACAAGGGCAGGGGACATAACCTGTGCTCCAAAGCAGCCATTACCCCCTCCTCCACATCTCACAGGAGCCCCAAGGGGCTGGGCCCACTGCCCGAGACTGTCACTGCTTCATAAGCACGAGGGAATGGAGTGGGGACTCAGAGAAGTGTCTTGGGTCTGACTGTCTTCCCGGGTCGCTCTTTGCTGCCTAAGGGACCATGTATTTAGCAAGTGACACCCTCAGATCATAGACCTGTAACTGTATGGGGAGGACATGATGGGGAGCTGGGGGCGATGAGGTCAAAGGCAGACACCTACCTTTAAGTGATTCCCTGGTTTCCTTGGCTTTCTCCTGTAGCTGTTAACAACAAGGGGAGAATGAGCACACGGGACCCACTGGCTTTGCTGCTCTTCCTGAGATGTTCAGAACTCCATTACCCATGCACACCCTGAGGCCCACTGAAGAGTGTGATATGCTTATTTTAATATAAGGTGTGGCAGGGACTACTTGTTTTCACCCCTCTGTTGGAAAACTAAAGGACAATGGGGTGTTGTGTGGAGGACAGCCTTTCCCCCTGTGCTCCTCCTGAGGCTCATGAGCCCTAGGGCTAAAGACTGGGTTCCATGCTCTCTTCAGAGACATCACCAACATTCAGCATTGTGATCCTGACCAGTTCAGTGTGGAAGAAGTGAAGGGACACATGTTGTGGGGATGGATCGTGGATCACGTGTCAGGAGAGGCTGGCCTCATTCTGAGAACACAAGAGTGTAGCCAAGCCACCAGGACCACTTTCATGCTTTGTCCTGGAAACCTCAGCCACACAAAGACAGGAAGGTGTGCTGCGGGCTCCACACAGAAACCTTTGTCCCTCCTGCATCCCTCGCATGCCTGTCTCTTCTCCCTGTCCCAGCCCTCTCTCTTCCCCCCATCTCTCCTCCCCTCTCCTCTCCCTCAGTGTTCCGTCTCAGACATCCCTCTGACAGCCAAGCTCATCCCCTCACTAATGAAGACTCTCTTGGGAACCATGCTTCCTCACCTTTTGGGTATATGTCTCTTTCCACAGTGAAGATAAAACCAGTTTCAGTATCAGGTAGCAGATGTACAGCAGCAGCAGCCCCAGCCCACTCAGTAAGGTGTAGTTGAAGTCTACATGACAGGAAGCTGAGCCAAAGGCCAGCCATGTCTCAGGGAGGCTATGGAGAGATGAGAGAATGTTCTCCATATTGTAAACAGCATGGCTGCCTGAGGTGACTGATTCTGAGGGTCGGTGGGCTTGACTAGAGTCCCAGGCCTGCATCACAGAGCAGGGGAGAGTCACAAGGGTTTCTGAGGGTGGGGGTGAGGGTGTGTCTTCAGCCCTTGCCCCACCCCCAGGCAGCTCTTCAGAGCTCTGCCCAACCTGCTGCTCCCCTCTTCCATCTGCCCTTTGCTCACACACTTCTCCTCAGGGGAACTTTCTGTTTGCTCCATCGGCAGCCCAGAGGGTGACCCATTCCCCTTGGTGTTTGGAGAACTTGACTGGGGTCTCAGCAGGTCCAGCACCATGTGGTGTGTGGAATTTGGCTTTTGCTCAGACATTAACTGTCTCAGGATAGTAATGTCTGCATACAGATGTTAAGTTCAGAATGGCCATCTCCTCTGCTGACACAGGTCCATGACTTGAAGCTCTTTTACACACCTCTTCAAACGCTGGTCAGTAAATTTTGTGTGTGAATCAGCCTGTAATGTCTTTAATTAGAGGTGCAGAAACAAATCAGAAAATTGATTGATTTTTCACAAATTATCCTCAGTTGGCCAAAAGATATGCGTGCATGTCTGTGTGTGGGGCACAACAAATAACTCAATGCATATTAAGTTTCCCTAACCAGGAAAAAAATGTAAACTTATTCCCAAGAGTACAAGGCAGTTGAAAAAATGTTTTATTTATGTTTGTGATTTCAATTTGGCTTCACATGGACAGGCTCACAAGAAAATCAGATCCAAGATACCCCAGGCACCCAGGAGACAGAAAAGGGTGGGCCTGGCCAGGATATAATCTGATGAAAGAGGTTCAGCTGGGGAAAGTACTGGACTTCCTGAGTCATATATATATGTGGTGTTTTAGGCAGGTTTTTATTTCTGTGAGGAGACATAATGATCATGACCACTCTTTTCCTTTTTTAAAAAGGTTTATTTATTTATTATGTATACAGTGTTCTGCCTACATGTATGCCTACGTATCCAGAAGAGGGCACCAGATCTCATTACAGATGGTTGTGAGCTGCCATGTGGCTGCTGGGAACTGAATTCAGGACCTCTGGAAGATCAGGCAATGCTCTTAACCACTGAGCCATCTCCCCCCCACCCCACCCCCCACACACAGAAAGTCTTATAAAGAAAACATTTAATTTCGGCGGCTCCCTCGTAGTTTCAGAGGTTCGGTCCATGATCCTTGTGACTGGGAAATTGGTGACATGAAGCTGGCAGATGTGGTGCTGGAGCTGGGTGTGCTCCATCTTTCAGGCAGCAGGCAGTCAACTGACCGTCACACTGGAGTTTGCGTGCTTAAAGCATCCCACTGCTTTCCTAACCCAAAGTACCAAGTCCAAATTCCTCCAAACAAACGCATGGTCAGGCCTATCACAACAATAACCCGGTCCCTGGTACCAACTTCTGTCTTAGGGTTTCTATTGCTGTGAAGAGACACCATGACCACGGCAACTCTTACAAAGAAAACATTTAATTGGGCGGGGCGGTCTCACAGTGTCAGGGGTTCAGGCCATTGTGACCATGAAGGGAGCATGGCGGTGTGCAGGCAGACATGGAGCTGGAGCTGAGCGTGCTGCATCTTGCAGGCAACAGGAAGTCAACTGACTGCCACACTGAGTGAAGACACCTCAAAATCCACCCCACAGTGACACACTTTCTCCAACAAGGCCACACGGCCTAATAGTGCCACTCTCTTTGGGAGACATTTTCTTTCAAACCACCACAGTGGGACTCATGGCCAGATCAGATGAGAAAACAGGACTGACCACAGGACAGGCATTAAGGGACTATGCTGATTTCACAGAGAGCCACCTAATACAGAACAAGGTTTAGTGGCAATGGGACAAGGAAGCCCCACGGTGTACTGCAGGGCATTCCATGGCAGGTAGACTGTGGCAACATTAAGCACTAGCAGATGGAGGCCTATAACGGAATTACAACAAGGAACCGATAAGAATGATATTTTATTGTGGAAGATTACTTACACCGAAAACCCAGGTTAGTCTCGGCAGCCTTTCGAGACCCCACCGAACCCCAAAAGAGGCCGAGTGCGTCTCCTCTTCGCTCTTTATCCTACCCCTCTACGTCCTGTAACCATGCTCGTTTGGGCGCGGTCAGCGGTACAGGTATCCAGGATGTCTCCCTACAGAGGCCCACGAGGAGAGAGGGGCCAGAGTGGGCATGAGGCCAGGAGGTGGCAGCATAGTATGTTGAGGTGAGGAGAGGAGCAGGCTAGGTAGAGTAGGATGGAGAATGGGACTCCCTGGGCAGACTCTAAATTGAGGAACTGTGTAGAGTCAGGTGGGGAATGTGGTGCACTGGGCCACCAGGGCGATGGAGAGCATAGTAGCCTGGCGACTTAGACAAGCGCATTGGGTTGGGGAACAGTGTGGTCCTGGGTGCACAAGAAACAGCTGTAAATGGGGTCCAATAGAAACAACGGAGGCAGCTGGGGGGATGAAGCTGAGTTAATAAAGGTGTGTGTGTGTGGTGTGTGTGTGGTGTCTGTGTGTGTGGTGTGTGTGTGTGTGTGTGGTGTGTGTGTGTGGTGTGTGTGTGGTGTGTGTGGTGTTGTGGTGTGTGTGTGTGGTGTGTGTGTGTTGTGTGTTATGTGTGAGTGGTGTGTGTGTGTGGTGTGTGTGTGGTGTGTGTGTGGTGTGTGTGTATGTAGTGTGTGTGTGCGTGTGTGGTGTGTGTGGTGTGTGTGTGTGTGTGGTGTGTGTGTGGTGTCTGTGTGTGTGTGTGTGGTGTGTGTGTGTGGTGTGTGTGTGGTGTCTGTGTGTGTGTGTGTGGTGTGGTGTGTGGTGTCTGTGTGGTGTGTGTGGTGTGTGTGGTGGGTGTGTATGGTGTGTGTGTGTTGTGTGTGGAGTGTGTGGTGTGTGTGGTGTGTGTGGGGGGGTGAGGTGTGTTTCAGAGGCAGTAGGGACAGGAGGCTGTAGGTCTGTGTGTTGGGGACCAGGGTAAGGTGCTGTGTGAGCTGTGGAACGAGAGTCATGGGTGAGGAGGACGCAGTGTGATCTGGCAGCCAGCAAGCACACTCTAGAGAGAGCTGGGGAGGGGCTGAGGGCTGAGGGGCTGAGGTGGATAATGGGCTGTCTGGGTAGAGTAACAATGATGTGTGAGGTGAACACTGTGGGCTGTCAGGAGAGCCCCTGAGGACAGCGACATGGGACGAAGCTGAGCATCACGAGGGGCTCCCAGGACTCAGTTGGGATGAAGAAATGAGCACTCTGGTGCAACTAGTGTGGCCCGGGAACCAGGAAGGCCGGGGCACATGACACGGACAAGGGGAGGAGTTACTGGGGAGGGCGTGGCCGGGGAACAGGGCGGGCTGTGGCGCATACAGCTGCAGTTTGGGGTGTGCCAGGAAGCAGTGTATGCTGGGTTGAATGGGGTCTGGGTGGTTAGTGGAAGTCTGGCATGCCAAGAAAGGCAGACGAGGGTGGGCACAGAATAAAGTGCAGGCTGAACGCCAGGTGAGAGCAGTCTTCGGGGAGGTGAGAAAGGGTGAACTGGAAGAAAAAAAGGAGGTGAAAAGAGTGGAGTGACCTGGAGCACATTGGGAACAGGTTATATTCAGTGGATCACGCGCAGATGGGCAACCCGGCATGCCAGAGATTAGAAGGAGAGACTTCGTGGAAATGTCATGTTTTAACTTTGGACAGTAACTGTACCTTAATCTACTGCGACTTCAGCCAGCAACTGCAATCCCACAGTTACCAGCCTGCTTCCCTGGCAGTGGCCTGGCCACTCAGGCTGAAGCCTGGCAGGAATTCTGCTCCTGCAGGCACTGGCCCTGTCGCTGCTGCTAAAGTTAGCTATAAATAAATCATTCAATTTACAAATAAGGCTCGAGATTGAAAGGCAGGGGTGAAAACTTGAGAGCTCAGAGAGGTTGAGTAGCTGGAGTCTCCCTGCTGGTGTTTCCAAAAGACCTGAGCTTCTGCTCCACGGCACCAGAAAAACCCACACTGCCCAATCCCCCTCCCACTTCCTGAGTCTGTCTCTCCTGGATGCCCTCTGATGCTCTGTGATGACTTTCTGTCAACCAGTTGCTTACTCAACCTCCTGACACAAGGTTAATTTTATTTAATCAATGCAAATAAACTCAGGGTTCACAGTGTGATCCAATATCCCCCAACAAGGGGTATAGTAGGTCAAGAGGCATTAGATTAAGGTAAATTGGTGTAGGAGGCACGGAGATCCTTGTGCTCACAGACGTGTGTTAGGGGAATCTGGAATGACAGTACACAAGGTTGTCCCTTCAAGAGAAGGAGTGTCACACCTGTTATTCACCCAGAAGGCTGGGAAGAGACATGCATTCTACCCTAGTGACCTTTGCACTGTCTGCGTGACTGAAAACCACACCAGACACCCCTCTCCGGCCCCATCCAAGCTTCTTCTTCTCAACCAATCTATAGAACCTGTCTTTATGGAAGGTGTCACTTGTACTTTATTTATTTATTTATTTATTTATTTTGAGATGGGGATTCTCTCTGTAGCCCTGGCTGTCCTGGAACTCTTTCTGTAGACCAGGCTGGCCTCGAACTAGCAGAGATCTGCCTGCCTCTGCCTCCCGAGTTCACTGCCCTTGGCTTGTGTCACATACACAAAACAAAGTTTTGATGTAGTTGTGTACAGTCTTTAGTTTACTGTGTTCCTGCAAGAGATTTATGTATGCTTTACCGTGTTCATGGGATGGAGTAAAGTATAACCAGAAAAGTTTTCACCAAATTGTGCTGTGCTTAAATATGGCTAAAATATCCAAATGGTGGTGGCACACACCTTTAATCCCAGCACTTGGGAGGCAGAGGCAGGAGGATCTCTGTGAGTTTGAGGGCAGCCTGATCTACAAAGTAAGTTCCTGGAGAGTCAGAGCTGCTACACAGAGAGAAATCCTGTCTCTAAAAACATACATACTTATATATAAGGACTAGCAAGGCTGCACTAGTCCACAACCCGCCATACAGAGGGAAATAAGGGCTACTGTGTTTTCAGGGAAGGCGGGCAGGCCTAGCAAACTGTGGTGGGTCACAGTGAGAAGGGCTGGGCACACCAGAGTGTGCTATGCACAGGGGCTTCATAGACAAGGTGGGGGTGGGAGCTGTGTCATATGGGATTAGCATGAGCTGGGGAACAGGGCACTTATGGGTACAGGAGCCTACCCTACTGAGAGACATTGGATTACAGAAACTGCTGAAGTAAATCAATCTATATATTTTTAAAATATCTTCAAAATGTAAGTCAAAAGATATGTTACTTTGGGGGAGAGGTTATGTTTTTATTTCCACAGGAAATGAGAGGCCGTGGATTCATTCCAGGTTGGTATGCACCAAGTTTGATCAAGGAAGACCCCCCTGAAAATTATGGCTACAGACATAAAGAAATAAACCCAGAAAAGCTACAAAACATATAATGTATATTTTACCTGCTCAAACATAAAACAAAAAAAAATCATCTTTGGTTAACCTGTGTATAACACACAGTCTATACCTGTATTAATATAGACAGATATGTTATCTTTAAAGTTTTATGTATTTTCAGAACAAGGGGACCAGACACCAATGAAAATGTATGGCCCAGGTGATCCCATATCTCAAAATGCCTCTGTTACAGTCTCCTCAGAATTCTGCATCCAAAATAGCTTCAGTGCTGCTGGCTGAGATGATCCAACCTCAAAAACTACTTCAGTCAAGACCTAACAATTATTCTGATTTTCTCGAAGTTCCCCAAAGATACCAGTGCCCACAGACAACAGGAAGTAGTATAGAGAAATGACATCCACATTCCCAATATATGGGGTATGGGTTGGTTTTGGTTATTCAATGGATTATGGATATTTGTCATTATAAAGGGGTTTGGTTACATGTTGTTGTTAATCATAGTCAAAAAGGCTAAACAAAAGATTTAAATTCAAAGATCTCTTTCTAAAGTAAAAAAAAAAAAGAGGGATATGACAGAAATTATAGAGAAAAGGGCAAATTATTGAGTCTACTTTAATCCACAAATCAACTAATAACTCAAAATATTTGACATTGGTATGGAATTTTGTTTATAGATAAAAATTTATAGTTATTTTTTGTTATGCTGCATGTATTTTTCTACTCTTGTTTGGAGCAGAAAATATGCTTATGCAACTCATTTAAAAATATAATGTATAACTAAAAATACAAGTTAGTAGTTAGTCATCTATAATAATCAAATTGTAGTAATATTAGGTGTGTTTTCAAGGTTAAACAGATATGTTTAGATAGTCTTCAAACACTTCAAACACTGTATATGGCATTTAAAATACTTAATAACTTAAAGTTTTTCATGTCAGTGAGATATGTCTGCTTCAGACAGCACCAATTTACTTCAAGAGAAGATGACGGGCATTGAAGAATCTCTGTATGTAGTTTGCTTTTTTATGGCAAAAGCTAGACATTTGGACAAAAAAAACTGTACTCACTTCTATTACTACTGTTCAAACTGGACCAGCAGGATGCAAAAACTGCCAAACATTGGCAAAACAAGGTAGGGCATACTTCAAAATTCCCTGCTTCTCAAAAATGTATGTAAGACATACTAACATTAGGTGTCTGGGCCCAAATGTAATACATCAGAAATATGCTTGGCCCAGCCACAAACTTTAGGAGCTCAGAACCTTGGGTGACTGTCCAGGAAGCCAGTAGTCCCTGTCAGTAGGTAATATTACACCCCTCTGGAATCTTCGATGGAATTAAAGATTAAATGTTTTTTGTAAGACCCCCAGAAGCTCAGGCCTTCAAGATCTCAGCCCAGGACCTCGGTCACCCCAATCACTGGGTGGAGTCAAAAGCTTGATGCAAACATCATGAGGCTTTATTATAGTTGTTTAACAAGCTAACCCCATGTTAGCTCGAGTCTTTCACCCACCCACCATGGCGGATGGCTAGGAAAGACAGCTCGAAGCGTCTGCATAGAGATCTTATAGGCAGCGTAAGGGGAGTGTCTAGGGGTACGCACAGGCTCAGGATTGGCGTGCCTCCAGGCTTGGAGGGCTTGCCCTGTGTTGATTGGCCAACTGGTTGTTATGGCCCATAGGCCCTCCCAGGGTGGTTGCTATGTTCTGCACATCATTGCTGTGCACTTGTCCATAAAGCACACTCAGAGCCGTAAAGC